AAATAAATAAATAAATAAATAATAATAATAATAATGAAGAATAAAGACAGAGAATCCTAACACTAAGGTCAAACAAAAAAGATTGGGTCCGGAAAAGTATATCATAATTGTGGGAAATGTTTTTACAGGCCTTATCGCAAGTTAGGTCTTCAAACTTATGTGTTCTTTTTTCTTTAGTTTACCAATGTGGGCACTCTTAGTCAATCAAATTACTGTTTAGATCCTGCTTAAAGATATACTTTTAGTGTAGGAAACTCTTATACCACCGGTCCGAATTTTTTTTTTTTATACCTATGAAATTTTAAGCCCTAAAAAAAGCTTTAAAAAGATGTAGATCGAGGAGATCTATCACCACTTGAAAATTTTGAAAGTCAACGGTCTAGATAATGTGTTATAAGATGTACTATTTTTAAAACTTGATTTTTTTTTATTTTTATTTTTTTAACATATTCATGAATCTTGCTGGCTTTTTCAACATCAAAACAACTTCTTTGGTTGGATATTTTAGGTGCACATTATTATGCAATATAAGGATGCTACTTTATATAAACTTTTTCTTTTTACCTGTGGTTTCAAAATCCACCTCAAGCTGCGCATAATTTTATAGTCAAATTACTAAAATGCGCTTATTTGTTTAAGTTCCAAAGCCAGAACAAGGGTATTTTGGGTGTTTTCTGATAAAATAGTCAAGGAGCTTCCCAAGTGAAATAATTTTTAAAAAATATAGTGTTTTGATAAATTTGTTTATTAAGAAGGTAACAGGGAAGTTTTCGGTATATGTTAAAAATTCGATAAAAATTCAGATATAGTCATCCAAACAAAAAAAAAAACGGCTTATGCATAATTTGATTAGAAAATCGGGTGTTTCAAGAGTAACGACATTTATGAACAAATAAGGAATATAATTTCATACAAAGAATTGAAATCCAATAATTACCACACTAACATATATTATAAAGAAAATTACTAAAAAACCCCCAAGACCACACTTTTTATGCAACTTACCCCCAAAAAACACACTTTTTATGCAAATACCCCCCAAGGAAAAAAGTTCATTTTTTTAGACGAGAATACCCTTCCCATACACAGAAATCAATTTGACCAGATTTGACGTGGACTTTTGGAGCTCATTGTTGGAGCGAACCAGCATAGTGCCGGAGTGCATGATCCACTGCCGAAGCGCACATATAGAGTGTTGGAGCGCTGTGACTCCAGATTACACTGCCGGAGCGCACTTATACAGTGTCGGAGCGCATGATCCACTGCCGAAGTGCACATAGATAGTGTCGGAGAGCTGTGACTCCAGAGTGTTGCACTGCCGAAGCGCACTTACATAGTGCCGGAGCGCATCATCTATTGCCGGAGTGCACATACATAGTGCCGAAGCGTTGTGACTCCAGATTCCACTATCGGAGCGTACTTACATAGTATCGGAGCGCATGATCCACTGCAGGAACGCACATAAACAGTGCCGGCGCTGTGACTTTAGAGTGTTGCACTGTTGGAGCGCACTTACGCAGTGCCGGAGCGCACATACACAATGCCGGAGCATTTTGACTCTAGATTCCACTGCCGGAGCGCACTTACATAGTACCGGAGCGCATGATCCACTGCTGGAGCGCACATAGACAGTGTCAGAGCGCATGATCCACTGCTAGAGCACACATAGACAGTGCCGGAGCACTGTGAATCTAAAGAGTTGCACTGTCGGAGTGAAATTATACAAAGGAGAGAGAGGCGTGGGTAAGGTAAAAGTAAGGGAGGGTAATTTACGTATTTTTTTATTTTTTATTTGGTTGGGGGGTATTTGCATAGAAAGTGTATTTTTTGGAGAAAAGTGAGAGAAAAAGTTATGGTGGGGGTAACTTGCATAAAAAGTATAGTCTTGGGGTTTTTTTGTAATTTTCCCTTTATTATAAGATCATTTTATTTTGGTACAAGAAAGTCGTAACCAATGTCGACCAATAGGTGTGAATTAGATGGCTAGGGTTTGCTTGGATGTAGAGTCCCAAATAAAATTTCTTGAACTATGTGACACATTTTAAACGGTAGGATTTTATATCTTATAGTTAATAGCAATTTTGACCTCGTTGTACAAGAACTAAATGGTTTCGTAATATACAATCCAAAAAAAAGGTAGTGTTATTTTGTTCACGTAATGAATTAAGAGATATCCCTCTAAAGGAAAAAATCATGTAGTTTTTGCAATGAATATAGAGTAGTAATTATCACAAAAGCAAGTATCTTATATACTACGCAATGCATTGAAGTATATTTGAAATCCTACTAAGATACTATGATTTCTTGGTTTTTAAAGAAGAAGCTTAGAGGCAGATATCCTAGGTAGTCTTTGATGTAGGGTTCTTGTGAACCGCTAAGCTTGTGGAACCAGGAATCCAAAATAACAGGATCGTACCCAAGATTGTGTACTCAATTGGCCAAATACGAAGTAGCTGAATACAACTATAATCAAGTATGAGAAATAAAACAAATATAAAAAACACACCACAACAACACGTTTACGTAGTTCACCCCGTAGAGTTACATCCATGGCCTCGACAACTAGAAATCCACTATCATAATGAAGATTACAGTTTTGAGTTACAAGAGATAATACATATCTCTAAACATCGATAGAAAACCATCACCGATCTTCCCTTCTAAACTCACTCTCACGACCTGGTAAAATTGTCGATTAACATCCTAGCTGTAAAAATGTAGTGTTCAGCAATATTATATGGTTGATTGGCGATAGGGTAGACATTTATTTTTTGTTGAATAAGTGGCATGGCTATACATCTCTTTCTCTTATCTTTCCATATCTTTTTTCAAGAGTCTCCTTTCATGTAGCTAAAATTTCATAATTATTCTTCTTCAACCAATTTGGGGTCATTGGTTGGAACATTAAATGCAACTACAATAGATTGCCTGATCATGTGATTTCATAGCTTCAATAGCCTATTACTACTTCTTGAAGATGTCTATATTTATCCTTCTAGAGAAGGCGAGGTTATACGGGAAAGTGATCGCAATGGACTTTTCTCAGTCAAATTAGAATATAGATTACTTTTCCATGATCGAGTCAGATGGTCTATTGATTATTTACATGAATCTGGAAAAGTCCTATCCCGATGAAGATTCAAGCCTTCTTTTGGGTGGCCCTTCAAGAAAAATGTCTAACTATAGACAATATTTGCAAGAGGGGTAAAATGCTGCCAAATGTCTACCTACTGTGTAAAAATGCGGAAGAGACTTGCAACCATCTCTTTATGCATTGTCCTTTTGCTGACAATATTTGGAAATGGGCCTTCCGGTTGCTTGGTTTCTCTTTTTCGTTTCCAGCCAACTTAATTTCTATTATTAACCATCTTCACATCCCTTCTTTACCTTCTAAAGGCCTTCTTATCTAGAAGATCCATAGAAGTGCTATCATTTGGCAGATTTGGCTAGACTGTAACAAAAGAACTTTTGATGGGCTTTCTTTAGACCTCGTAAGTATTAAAGACAGAATTTTGCAATGCCTCTGAGATTGGTTCTCAATCCCTGGTGAGGGGCGTGGTGTTTCAAGGTCTGATATCTAAAACTTCTTGTCTTCTTCTATGTGCCTAAAATCCGGCCGGCCACCTATTAGATGTCACTTCCAGTAGGTTCTTTTAAATTGAATTTTGATGGCAGTTCTTTTGGCAACTCATGACCAACTAGGGTTTGAGGCATTCTCAGGGACCATGAAGGGTCATTGTCTTTTCTTTTATTGGGCTTTGGGGTTCCACTACAGCTAATCAGGACGAAATAATCTCACTCCTGTAGGGATTGGAAATTATTATCAGCAAAGGCATTTCAGGAGTATTATGATTGAAAGAGATTCCTTTAATTTGATTAAATGGTTGTTCATGTTTACTAGTTGAAGATTATGGATGTTTGTTCCACTCATGGACTTCAGGTCACTTTTTTTCATATCTTCATAGAGGCCAATGATTCAGCAGATCGCCTCACCAAATTTTGTGTTTCTTAACGTTCTCTGCCTATTTTTTATGCTTTGATTCCAGTAAGGTAATCGATGTTTTCCAAGCAAACATTCAATAAAAGTTCCTAATATTGTCAAAAAAAAAAAAAAATGTTCGAGTAACAACTTAAGATTTTAAAAATGTGATGTTTGACAAACCATCTTTTTTTTTTGCCTTTTTGGTTAAGATAAAAACATCAGATTTTGAGAAGCCATAATTTTTTAATTGAATATTTTTAATGTGATGATTTTAGAAATGAGTTTTTTGTCAAAAACTTCGCATTTCAAGAATCAAAAAAAAGTTTTTTTTTAAGGTAAAATTTGTTGTCAAATGCTTCAGATTTTGATAATCCAAAGGTTTTTTTTCTATAGGCATATAAGTAGCAAAATTTGTTGTAAAAGAAAGTTAGGTTGAAAACTTTGGATTCTCAAAATCCAAATTTAGGGCATTTTGAGGGAGGGACAAAATGAAAACTACGCAAATTAGGTATGAATGTAATATTTCTATCTCATGGGGATTTTGATAAGGAAAATTGTTTCATGCGGGCTGGACCGCATATCTACATATGCGGTCCAGAAAGTGTAAAGCATATATGTTAAAGATGGATGCAAGTAGATGTTCCATCTAAAAACAATAGAAACTAACGGTCCAAATGTTTTCTTACTAGAATTATTACTTTTGGTTTTTAAAATTTATTTATTTTTTCATAGTCATGATCTCCTTAAAAATTAAGTTCAAAAATCCATCTCAAAAGTATATTTGTTAAGAGGCCCGCATATCTATGGCTTCGCCGCATACAAACCGAGTCCGCTTGATAATAACGGTAACTTAAAGGGGTACTTCTATTATCTTTTAAGTATGAATACCTTTTCCATTTTAGGAATATTGAACATGAGGTTTTAGCATTAAAAACATGCTAGTCATAAGCGTGAACCATCAAGGTTACTCTCACCTTTTGGCTCGGGCTAGTAAATAGAACCAAATTATTTATTTATCTATTTAGGGTTGCCATTATTAAATAGTAGTAATTTGATATTTTTTAAATATTTTTTGGTAAGGTATCCAAACAAAATAAACTTAAAAAATAATCATTCTAATATTAATGGGATGATTCAACCACCTTAAGGATTGTATAATGTAATTTGGTCATTCAATTGATATTTTCTCACATGTTCATAGGGTAAAATTGGTGTCTTAAGTTTTAAAAAATAAATTCAAAAAAACTTTTTAGAGAATTTACTTTAAATTTTATAATTTTTTTTAATATTATCATGTATTGTTTTAATTATGGACCATTCTTTAATGGGAAAAGTTATATAGAGCTGAGGCTCTAAGTATTCAAATTTGAGCCTACATCAAAAATTTTATTAGAATAGGTTGTTTTGATGCCCAAATATCTTCAAATCGATCATCTCGACATCAAGTTGCATGGACATGAGAAAAAAAATGGATTTCAAGTTTTGATAATAGTGCATTTTGTAACGCATTTTGGGCTTTCAATTTTTAAGATTTTCAAGTTTTTATAGATTTGTCGATCTATAATATTTTTTAAGCTTTAGATTTTATAAATAAATATAAAAATACATTTTAATGCTATTACAAAGATTTCCAATATTGAAACCACATTGCTCGACACTATTTGAAGATAGGCTCTAATTTAATTGTTTAAGGCCTAGGCTCTATACAAACCACACCCTTTTTTAATACGTGAAGACTTCCCCTAAATTGCCAAGAAAAGCGTCATTCGCCTACCCTCATAATAGGGATGGCAACTAGACCCGGGACCCAACGGTTAGACTCGAACTTGGGTCCAAGTATGGGTCCAAATTTTAGGCAAGAATATTATTTGGGTCAGAGTCTGGGTCCAATTAGACCCAACCTGTACCCGTAGTGATATGGTATATGATGACAATCATGTGTTTTTTGATGCATGCTAGGTATTCATATTATTGCAATCTTGCAAATTTACAGTATTACTTGACCCGAGGGGTCTAGATATGGGTCTAAATTTTAGACCCGAATACGATTGGGTTCAGTCGTAACCTACTACCCCTACTTCGTAAGTTGCTGAATCCATCACGAAAGAGAGGACGGAGCCGTTGGGGAGTTTTGGAGAAATTTTGCCGTTATTCACTAAAATTTCGGCTCCGCTCTGTTTAAGTGACTGACCCACTAAGTTTGAAAACAAACTTGACCGTTATTTTATGCAACGGCTACTTGCCCAGTCAAATACTGTCAATCCTCGTCTCCTCTCTTTCTCTTCTTGAAATCCTTTGTAATTCAGTCTTTCCTCTATCTCTCTCTTCCCCACTCAGAACTCTCTCTCTTCTATAAATCTCTTGCAATTATCTCATTTCCTTTCTCTTTCCCAGTCAAAGCCCATCTGCAAATTAATGGGAAAAGGTAGCCAAGAGAAGCTAATGGATCAGATCTTTCAGCTGAAGCTCACCTCCAAATCTCTAGTTCGCCAAGCCAAGAAATGTGAGCTCGATGAGAAAGCGGAGAAAGTGAAGATAAAGAAAGCAATTGAAAAGGGGAACACAGATGGTGCTCGAATCCATGCTCAGACTGTGATTAGGAAGAGAACAGAGCAACTCAACTACCTTCGCTTTGCCTCTCGACTCGATGCCATAGCCTCTCGTCTCTCTAGCCAGAATCAGCTCCAAGGTCTTCAAAAACCAATGGCGGCCATTGTTAAATCCCTTCAGGGGGCGTTGTCGGTAGGAAACATGCAAAAGATTTCTCTCACAATGGACATGTTCGAGAAGGTTTTCACAAACATGGAGGTACAAGCAAGCTTCGTCGAATCTTCGATGGCAGGGACTTCCTCTCTCTCTACACCCGAAGGGGAGGTGGGTTCTCTCATGCAACAAGTTGCAGAGGACTATGGACTGGAGGTTGCTGTGGGGTTGCCTCAGGTGATTGGGAAGTGTTCAGTGCCATTGAAAGGAGGAAGCGAGAGAGTTACAGAGAAAGTAGGAAGCGAACGAGTTACAGAGGAGGAGCTGAGTAAGAGATTGGAGAATTTGAAGGCCAGAGGGTGAAGAAGTGGAGGTTGTGATGATTAGTGGTGGTCTTGTGGATCTCCACGAGATTGGATTTTGGGTTTCTCTTAGACATGGGTTTTGTGTTTTAACAGGGCAAGTCTCTCTCTCCATTTTTGGTTGGCATGGAAGTCTCTCTCTCCCTCTCGAGGATTTGTGGTTGGCATGGAAATCACCACTCAGGTTAAATATTATTAGTCTCCAGTTCTGTTAATGTTCATATGGTTTCCTCTTTGTACTACTGTCTGTTGCAGCTCAAGTGCTTCAGTCAGTTCTCATGTTAAATATTACCAGTCACTTTAATATTATTGTGCAAAATGCTGTGTGTGCTGAGGAGGGCAAGTTCTATAGTCGATGGAGGAATAACACTGAATTAATTTATGCTGAAGCAAATAAACCTTTTAGACCAATATTGCGGAATTTCAAAAGCTCATGAATTTGGAAATTAGATTCTTTAAAAAACGGTTTACCAAATCTTTCTGATCCAGGAAGAGGGAGAGAGAGGGGCAGAGAGTTGGCTTTATTGTATAATGAAATTCGACCCAGTCTTCTTTTACTAAAAATATTGAGCCGAATAAAGAATGGGATCCCCTTATCTCTTTGCATCAATATTAATATGTATATTGCAACATCAAAGGAGAAATCCGTTTTCTTATCATTCGTCTAAGACTAATACTAAGTAGCTCAATGTTTCGATTGTCTGTTGTCGGATTCATAATAAATCCTACAGATCTTTAAGATCGAAAGATCATTTTAGATCTTGTGGTTTCGAATTAGAGATGAAACCCAAGAGTATCACAATTCCTTTTGCCCACCATGTATATCGTGCTCTTTGTTTCGTGTCGGAATCTAGACTTGTTCCAAGAAAATAAATTCTACAGAGGAAACAAATATTTATCTTTTAGATGAGATTTGTCCGCAGCATGGGAAAATCTCATTTTTATTGAGAAAAAGGGTTCTATATAGAATGAGCGATGCTCTGGATTCCAAATAAAGATAAAAAAGGAGAATCAATCCTTTTATTTTATTTACTAATACACTAAATCAATTGAGAATCACTAAATACAAATCTTATTGTAAATACAAGTACAACACGAACTAATAAAAACCAAAACAACGTAAAAATCTACCAAAAAAAAAAAAAGAAGCGCTAACCAAAACTCAGGACACCTTAGGCTTCCTTAGCCTTAGAAATGCATCGCAAACCTTAGCTGCATCCAAATTATCTTGCACATTGTGCACCCTCACGATATTAGCTCCACCCAAGATCCCAGTCGTTACAGCAGCAATGGTAGCAGCTTCTCTCTCCAAAGCATTCTTGTGCTCACAAATCCTGCCCAAAAAGCCCTTCCGAGAAGGCCCAACCAACAACGGAACGCGAGAAGAAGCCAAACTCTGACAACTCAATTCTTTACTGAAGTCCTTTAAACCCATCAAAATCTCCATGTTATGTTCATCTCTCTTTGAGAACCCAATTCCGGGATCCACAATAATTCTCCACATGGGTATTCCACATGACTCCGCCTCTTCTACCCTCGACCCCAACTCAACTGCCACTTCTTTGCATACATCGTTGTAAAAGGTGTTACTGTCATTTTGCATTGTAATCGGGTCCCCTCTCATATGCATCAAAATACAAGGGACTCCAAGCTCCGCAACTAAAGGGAGCATTTTGGGGTCTAACTGACCTCCTGATACATCGTTAACAATATGTACCCCCTTTTTAACTGCCTCCATTGCCACTTCAGAGTAAAATGTGTCCACCGATAAAATCTTTCCTTCTATTTCAGGTAGCTTTGTTACTTCTTCTATAACAGGAATAAGTCTATCTAGCTCTTCTTCTGGAGACACCTTAGATGCCATCGGGCGAGTAGACTGTGGACCTATATCAATAATGTCAGCCCCATCTAGGGCCATTTTTTGAACTTGGGAAACTGCATTTTTAGCAGAGATGAACTTCCCACCGTCACTAAAGCTATCTGGGGTTATATTGAGAACACCCATGATTTGGGTTTTCTTAGACCAATCCCATAAGCAATTTCTTCCAATGGGTATGACCCTTCGAGGCCCCCCCTCTCTCCCTATTGATCCTTCTCCTCCGAGCTTTTCCCAAGCCTCAAAAATCCCACCTTTTTCCACACAAAAAGAGTGCCAACTATTGACAATTTCATTGGATTCTGTCGAGCCTAGCAGATCGGTTAGAGGAGCCACTACAAATGGCCTCTCCCAAATTCGCTCATGGGGTATCTTGAGAATATCAGAATCAACCCTAATCTTGCCATAAAATAATATATCAAGGTCTATTGGCCTGGGCCCATATCGAATTCCCTCAGTTCGGCCCAAGTCCTTCTCGATTGTTTTGAGGGCATGGAGTAAGTCACGAGGCCCAAGCTTTGTAAGGCCTCTAATGGCAGAGTTCAGGAAGAGAGGCTGGTCTGTCACATAAGCAGGCTCTGTCTCGTATAAACAAGCATGTCGGGTTATTTTAATGCCTGATTTTTTCATTAGAGACAAAGCTTTGTTGAAGTTTTGGATTCTATCCCCCACATTGCTCCCCATTGCTATTATCACTTCCTCTTCAGGAGATTGAACTTCCACAAAGGACCCTAGGGTCGAGGGTCTGGAAGATGAAAACCCCATTGCCACTGGAAAAATGAAAGCTCTATTAGCATCATTAAAAATCCTATAGGAGTCATATCAAAACCATGGTTTCAAGGTTTCAAGTTTCAAAACGGTTACTAGTCAACAGTTTTTTTTTTTTTAAAAAAAAAAAAGTTTCAAAACGGTTATAATAGGGACCTGAAACCAAAACTTGTCTTCCGATTGAAGTCACAATCTAAAAAGTAATTTTCTAAGTCCAGAGAAGATAAAGATGGAATATGGAAAACCATAGTCCACTGGGATCATCACTATCCATCATTATATACCATCTGACTGGATGGTAATGAACCAAATGGACTATGGTTTCCATTGTACATGAGATTACACTGCTTTCCAGCCTTCATAATTACTGAATGTTGGAATAAAAAACTCACAAATTGGAAAATTAGAAAAGACAAAACTCCCTAAACTTCAATCCGTAATATTAGTGTCATAAGCAAAAAAAGAAACAAATATTTTTCACAAAATTGAAGTCATGATTGGTTAAGTGGGGAGAACTGTATATATACCTCCTCTGATATAGCTACAGTGAGAGATTCCTCCAAGGCCGCGCCTGAATTCAGGAAGTATTTGCAACAATGATTTCATGATAGAAATTTTCCTTGTATCCTAAAACATAGTTTGCTGAACATTAATCATCTTACTGCTGGAATCTTGGGTGGGTGGGTGGGTGGGGGGGGAGGGGAGAGAGAGAGAGACTTAACAGAAAATTATCATTTTCAGTCTGAGTAGTCAAATAATTGCCCAGAGCTAATTACCTATAGAAGGAAAAGTTGAGACCACCTACTCAGAACATCCGATACAACTTTTCGAGGCTGAAGGACCCCAGGAAGCGAGTTGAAATCTTTCTTTCTATTTATATCCATCTTCATCAAAGCACTAAAATGTAAAAAAAGGAAATGCATGTTACCAACAAATTCATATATAAAGATGCTGCATAATAGGATTCACAACTACTTATTAAAGCAAGGCCTGTGATGAAAAAGAAGAATTGCTTTTGACATGGTACTGCATAATAGGATTCACAACTACGTGGTGATATGAATCTCAATGAATCTTAACATTTCTTCTTTTCCATGAACTGTTGACTTTGTATTACTGTAACAAGGTAAACACATGGTTGGGTGGCCACCCACAGTCTGGGTGCTCATTCCAGCAGATATGAACTCAAAACATGGGCACTTACTGTAGCACACTACACAAAGATATTGCTACAAGCCAAAAATTGGAACCGAGCTAAAAAATTTGCCAAAAGGTTGACGAGTGAGTCCAGACTAGAGTTCACCTCTCTCTACGTAACAGGCATATGCCTGCATAAATGGGATATAAAAAGTGATCTAGTAGTCATGGGCAGAGACTGAACCCTGAGGCTCAGTTGATGACGTTTTAAAGTCACCGTCGATGACCAAATGAAACCCCCAATTCTGGTTGTATCTTTTAACACCCTCAAGAAGAACAACTTGATTCGGCCAAGGTTGAATCAAGGTGCCCAGTGTAGCCTGAATAGGAGAGGAAGGTCTTGTGATTGTGGTCCCTGGAAAAGTGGCCAAAACTGGCTGCACCCATGTTGCCAAGAGAGCAACCTTCGAAATTCAGGTTTCTCTGGCAGGGATCGGGGGACCTCCATAGGGGGGACTGGGGGATTTTAGCAGGTCTAACTTGAAGCATGGCCTGCCAATTATTTAGGATGTCTGTGGTGGTGAAACTCTTGACGGTCTCTTAGAGAGATTAAACAGGCTTCAGGAGCCTGGAAATCTTTTTTACCTCTCTCTCACAGTTCAAAAGATGTGTACGTCTTCATCCTAGAGTGGGCGATAGGGTCTTATTCTGGTCTGACCTTTGGCTGGGACATACCCCACTAAGCCAAGCCTTCCCAACCCTCTTCGCGCTTGCCACAGTAGCTGAGGAAATGGTGCTATTTGGAGGCCGAAGAAACTGAAACCCTTCCTTCCGTAGGAATCTCACTGAAGAGGAAGCCATTCATTTCCAGACTCTTTCGGCAGCCCCACACATGACTTTCATTCCTTTTAATGGGAATGATACTCTGGTGTGGACTCTAACTCCATCTGGCCAATTCACGGTTGCCTCTTTCTATAAGAGCCTTTCTCAGCCCCCTACCTTTCCTGCCAATCCTCCATCAGCCTTGGCAAAAGTCTGGGTGACCATCGCCCCACCCAAGGTGCAAACCTTCAACTGGATTGCTGCATCCAATAGAGCACTCACGGTGGACCAACTCCAAAAGAGGGGGATCCCCATCTCCAATAGATGTTCATTGTGTTTATCTGAAGAGGAATCTAACCCTCACCTCTTCCTTCTTTGCAATGTTGCACACGACCTGTGGAGTCTGGCAGTACAGCTGTTGGTATCCAATGGGTCACTCCACCCTCAGTCAGAGCCCTTATTTCTTATGAGCTGGATTCACAATGGCGAAAAGCTGGAAAAACTCTGTGGAAAGCTACTGTAGCTGCTACCATATGGACCATATGGGTAGAAAGAAATAACTAAATCTTTCCAGGAATCTATCTCCAAACCCCAGCTCTCTTTCACAAGGTTACCTCTTTGGCCTCTTTCTAGGCTTCAAATCATAAGACGTTCTCGGGTCTTCGAAGGAACCTTTTCCCTAGTCAATGGAAAGATATTCTTTACCACCAACCAAGAAAGGCAATTAGACATAACAACTGGCAACCTCCACCTGCAGGTTGCATCAAATTAAACTTTGATGGTTGTTCGATTGAGAATCCTGGCCCGGCTGGTGCTGGGGGAGTTTTTAGAGATAACCACCGGGAAATTCTCTTAACGTATTCCGAGCACCTCAGTACTGGTGACTCCCAATACGCAAAGGCTATGGCTTTGCTACTGGGGTTGAAAAAGTTCGACCCCTCTTGGGGACCACACCTTATAGTGGAAGGAGACTCCCAAAATATTATCTCTTGGGCAGGTGGGAAGACCCCTCCCCCATGGCAACTAACCAACATTTTTGATGAAATTACTCACATTTGCAGGGATATGGACGTCTCCTAGAAACATACCTGGAGGACATCCAAAGAGCTCGCATATCTCATGGCGAAAGGGGGAGCTAGAATCCAAGAGGAAGAAAACGCCAGGTCCCACTCCTTTTTTGTCACGGACCACAGGCACACTTCATAGCTTCCCTGGTTTTTGTTTAATTTTTTGGACAATCCTTGTAAACATTCTAAATGGGCGAGTATTATAAGCCTTTTTTTTTTCTTTTTGTCTATGGTTCACTGATGTTTCTTTTACCAAGAGCCACCCTTAGTGGGGCCTCTCGCTCTTTTCCCATTGTAACCATTACTGTCTCAGTAAGGCAATGTTAACGTTCTTCAAAAAAAAAACAGGACTCCCTACCTTCGAAAATTCTAGCATTCCTTTCAATCAATAGCGTCCAAAAGATGGCTGCCATAGAGGCACGCCAAAGGAAGGTTCCAGCTGAAGAATAAGGGGGGGAAGTAGAAGGCTTGGAAAAGGTGCGGCAAAGATTGGGGTAGAACCCAAGGCCAATGAAAATTTTGTAGTGATTCACCCCATAAATTACCAGCCAATTCACAATGTAAAAATAGGTGGTCGTTGGTCTCTGCAGCTGATTTACACGTTACACATCGACTTCAGATTGGCATTCATCTTCACTATAAGTAATCTACTGTGAGGGCTTTCTTGAGGATCACAATTCAGCTAAGGGTTTGGATTTTGGGAGGGACTTGAGTCTGCCAAGCTCTCCATGCAATGGTTGCAGGAGAAAGGTTGGAATGGGGTGGTTGGTGTAGAATACCATAGAAAGAGAATACTGATAAATACCCCGGAGGTTGATGGGGACCAAATGATCTTGTCTGGGCACCCGCAAGGAGGTGTGTTGTTTAGAGGGGAGCTGTGAGGGAGGCTGTCATCAAGTTCGTGAACTTGCTCTTCTAAGTTGCGGCACCAAACTTTCGACACCCTTCAGAAAGAATCAAAGGATTATGCAATCAAAGCTTCCCAGTTGTTGGACAGGATGAAGAGGGATTGGATGTAGTTTGGAGAGGAGCATCCCCCAGCCATAGATTCGACCAAAATTTAGCCTCTCGCAACCCTCCCACCCCCCACGCGTGCCAATGGGAAATTTGGGGGGAGGGTAGGGGTGTTGTTAGTTCGAAATGAATGTTTCCCTTGAAGAGGTTAAGGCTTGCCATGATGGACCATCAGGTATCCCAGGGTCTTGAATTAACAGTGGCACTGGGGAGCCAAGACAGGTGAATGTGTTATTTGTGCCTCACCACAACCTGCCTTAAGTGATTTTCCTTTGTGGCAAGCCACCACCACTTCCCAAGCGAGCACTTCTTTTTTGATAGATAAGTATACTAAAGGGGAACGATAGTATCAATTATGTTGCACCACTAGGGCTTTAAATACTGAGATATGCATCACAAAAAGGAAGAAGATAAAGGCCATAATGAAACAAAACCGAGGGGCTGCAAATGCATCTTCTACATGAGTGATCCCTCCATGCAAATTTCTGTAACATTGCTTTGCGTTGTCAAAGTTTGGTCATTTTGTGTCATTATGGTTTCATTTTCTTTTCGTTATGGAAATAACTAGTTAGCATAGACTACAGCCCACTAAATACTTATAGTGGAAGTCCTGTCTGCTAAGTCCTAAATCCTAATCCTATTTGGCTCTAGTTGGAATGACTCGTTCAATTGTTTGCACGTACAAACACAGTTATCAAGGTCAGGATATAAACTAAGTTACAACCTACCGCACCTTAAGCTAAGGTAAGGAATACAGTGTATACTATACACAAGTGATAGACCAAATGACTTATAATCAACTTACAATGGCCCCTCGCATAGAATGCAGAGTTATTCAACATGACAACATAGCAAAGCCAATAGCAGCAGTCACTCCTGAGAAGCATCAATGTCAGACTGCACATTGTTGAATAGTGCGCATTTCCACCGCACATCCTCAATGCCAAAGCCGTCGGCTGATTTGTCTGGCACAATAAAAATGAAGTGCTGAAGTTTCAAAAAATGTTGCGGTAGATGGTCGGATATGGAAAGACAGCAATTTCTTTTCAGCTAACTGCTTGTGAAGAGCCTAAGAGCACCAAAGTGCTTAGAAATCAGCATCTTAGCTTTTGAAAACAACTAAATGCACATCCTTGCAATGGGAAGAATAAACCAAATTCTGATCACTTACACAATACACCTTAACATGAAAATTTATAACGGCCAAATCTTAATAGTGACACACACCATTAAGGCATTGTCATCATTACGTATTCGTTTGTTAGAGCATACCCCTACATTAGTTCTATTAAATGTCACAAATCAGGCCATGGAAGCTAATCAAGAGCATAGTAATCCATACGAACAGAATACATGATAATGTCAATGATATGTATATGCCTCCTCGGTTAACTCTCCAGAAGAAATACATGTTGAATATCAACCCCATAACAATGTGCTAAAGTGAAGACATCTTTTTAGTGTACACCATACTCAATAAAAATAGCACGAAAGATTGTGTTCTTTTAGATTTTGGCTTAGGCTTCATTTCGGACTGCTGACTTAGGCGCTAATGCATCAAGTGGTATTGCATTAGTGGCAGCAGCCCAATGTGGCAATACAGTCTAAATGGAAAGACGGGGACACGTTTCCAATTAGAATTCAAAATGCCATTTATTTGCAGCATTTTTGCATGCTTGCTCAAATGGGTTTGGAACATGGGAAACCACACCCTGTTGACTGCCAACACTTTCTCAATTAACTGGGCCACAATGCATTACTAGCCATTTCCTCAATGAAGCATTGTTGTTTTTTATATATTGATGATCTGAATGCATTTTAAAATAAGTTGAAATTTGATTCATAAGCCATAAATTA